AGATGCAGAAATACTATCACATTTAAACTTGACAAGTGCACGAACTAGGAAGCCGAGCTCAAATAAAACAGACCTGATATGCAATGTGTCCTGAACGGTATAAGCAATCGCCCTGTATTCAGCTTCAGTGGGGGATTTGGAGACTGCGAGTTGCTTCTTGGACCGCCAAGACACCAAATTAGGTTCCATAAATATGGCATAACTGGTGGTAGAGCGGCTACTATCTGGATAACCAGCCCAGTCTGCATCTGAATAGGCTATGACTATCGTCGGGTCCTTCGTAGGGCGAAGTAAAAGACCGTGATCTTATGTTCCCTAAAGGTACTTGAAAATACGTTTAACTGCCAAAAATGTGAAGTGCGGGGGGCATGCATAAAATGTGAAACTAAGTGTACCGCATATGTAATATCTGGACGCGTCATAGTCAAATATTGCAAAGCACCAACCATGCTTCGATACTCTATAGGATCTGCGAGCTGGTTTGAGGGTATGAAGATGAAATTGTTTAAGAAGAGCAGTAACATATTTACGTTGGGAGAGGAAAAGATCATGAGAAGTGTGAGAAGACTGAATGCCAAGGAAATCGTGTAACCGACCCAGATTCTTCATAGCAAAAACCTGAGCTAGAGTAGCTAAGAACTTATTAATAAAAGACTGAGAATTACCGGTAATTATAATGTCATCCACATAGACAAGAAGATAAACAATATATATAACGACCTTGACGAAAAATAAAAAGAGAGTTATCTGACCTGCTACATAAGAATCCAGAACTTAATAAGAAGCTGCCAAAACGACAAAACCAAGCTCGAGAGACCATAAATTGCCTTACGCAGGCGACATTACATAATGGGGAAATTGAGGGTAAATAAAACCAGGGGGCTGACACATGTACACTTCCTTAGTTAGATGCCCGTGCAGAAATGCATTCTTGACATCTAGCTGACGAATAACCCATCCAAAAGAAACAGCAATGGTGAGAACAATACGAACAGTAGTGGGTTTAACAACTGGGCTAAAAGTGAGAGAAATCAACACCAGTTTGCTGGTTAAAACCTTGTGCAACTAAAACGAGACTTATGACGCTCGATAGACCCATAAGAAAGGCACAGTTTTATAAATCCATTTACACCCAACCAATTAAATTCTTGGAAGGATTAATTGGCACTAAGTCCCATGTATGATTAGTGATGAGTGCGTTAAATTCTTCTGACATGGTCTCACGCCATTTTAAATCTTTATTTTCTTGAGAAAAACAAGTAGGATCAGGCGCAGTGATAACCGTATTAAGATTAAAAATTGTTTTTGGTTTGAAAATACCAAGATTTAGCGCGAGGATGCATAGGATGAATATTCTGACACGGCGGGGAAGGGGAGGCAGTCACAATAGAGGAAGGGTCGGGTGACACACTAGGAGAGGCCGGGGCTGACACACTGGGTTTGCTGACTAATCGAGACGTAGACTGAGAAGAGGGAGAGGCCGGGGCTGACAGAGGGTCACAAGAGGAGGGAGTGGGTGAAGAGGGTTCTATGGGAGAGGTGTCAGGTGTGTACAGGTGGAGGAAACGCGGGCAGTGAGGGTGGAGAGGGGGCGTTTGAGAGAGAAATGGGCAGTGATGACGTCGGGACCTGCCTATAATAGAACAAATATAGGTCGTTGCGTGTGAATCCTGAGTCAATCAAAAAGAAGAAAAATGAAGTGTGAATGGAAGTGCGGGAAAAAGTATATTTATAGTGGTAAGTGGGACAGGGGTTTTGTCGAACCACAGGGATGGCGTGTAAGTGAGTTCAACGATCGAGTAGGCATATAGGTCACTAAAGTGGAGCAAACGAGACTAAAACACAAACATGATCAAGAGTCTATGTGTAACACCGCCCCCAAGTAATTGTACTTTATCAAATTATGTATTGAACCCGAGGAATGAATAAACGCATTTTACGTGATTGTGAATTTTTATCATTTCTTTTACGTGAATAGTAAAATTCACGTGGGGCCCACACCGGAAGTGGGGGCCGCCCGATATGTTCGGGACCACATATTATATTCATTTGGGTCAAGGTAACATGTGTATAATGGTGGGCATCCTTGTTGGACCACATAAATCATGGGAGTAACCGCTTGGGCATATAAAGCCCATTTATCGGTACTCAAGGAATATCAGATAAAAAGGGCCATAATAAATTATGGAGACCATCAAATTAAAGATGGGGAATATACATTCATTCTTATAGTCAATAATAATTGGAGGAATGTGAGGTATTTCATTTTACCCGATAAAATGGAATATAGTTAAAACAGTCCGGGAAATACAACTTTCGGGACCAAGTGTACACTCGGGGACATAAAGGGATGACCTCCCACATGAGTGGGGGCCACCCCAAGACCTTGAGATGCAAAACATCAAGGGGATCCGCACCATATCATGTGGGAAGAGGGGGGAAGTGATTTGAGACCAAGTTGATAGGAAAAGGGGTCCCTCTCCCCCATATTATTGGTGAATAAGCCAAAAGAGCTATTCACAACCACCCCAGCCTCTGTCCCTCGTCCAAACCAGATGCATTGAGGAGAGAAGGCCTGCAAAATACTCCATTTCATCATCCATACACGCACCAAATCAAGAGGGAGAAGAAGGAGGAGAAAAGAGAAGAGAAAAGAGGAGTTTCGGGTGGAGGAAACTTGTGGTTAGCAAGGTAAGGACTTCATGAATTCCATTTCTTCTCTTCAATCATATTTCATACTCCTAGGATAGTTCTACACATGTGAAAGTGTAGGATGGGAGTTGGAGGGCTGGATTATACCCAAGATGAACCTTGAGAGCCAAGTGGACGGGTTCACCGGAAAATAACCTTTTTGAGGTTATTTGTATTGATATGGGTTTTATGATGATAAAACCTTGTTAATAACTTGTATAAGGTGTTTCAAGAACTTTCACGGAGTTGAAAGGGTCACCGGAGTTGTCGCCGGAGTTCATTGAAGTTCACCGGAGTTTCACCGGAGCTCAATCGGGAAGGGCTAGAACTCCATAAGCTTCATTAAGGTGAGAAGACGGCTATATGCTTTATAACTTTTGATTGAGGCATCAGATTACCTAAAGTAATCAAGGATATGTTTTACGGAATGATTAAAGTTAATCAAGTATGGGCTTATGCCATGAATATATATAAAACAAAGTTGAAAGGCATGTTTGTATGTTTGGTGATTAAAAATGTGATAACTTATTATGTACAATGATCCAGGGGTCAAAAATGGTATTTTTGGATCAAGGACTTCAAGTAGAATGTGCATATAAAATTTCACGTTAATCGGACTTCGTTTGGGCGGTCAAACGGGCGTTGACCGCCGAGACAAGGGTGATACCCGACCGGGTAAGATGGATACCCGACCGGGTATTGATTAAATTCGGCTCCAGAAGCCACTGTCACACTAGACCCGACCGGGTAAGGTCAGGGACCCGACCGGGTCTCAAGTAAAGTCAGTTCCAGGGGCTTCTTCCCGGCCCTACCCGACCGGGTAAGGTGGATACCCGACCGGGTATTGGTTTATACTCAAAACGGGTAGTTTTTGAGTAGGATAACGTGGACCGATCAGGTGGGACCCGTCCACATTGGTTACTAAGGATTATTATATGACTATAGGACTAGGTATTGTCCATAGTTAAGTGAATGCAAGGTTAGCCATATCCAGGTTAGGGTTTGGTTAGAAATACGGTTGAGGTTGAGCATCCTCGGGACGGTAAACAATCCCAGAAACTCAGTGGGGTTGAGTATCCTCGGGACGGTAAACAATCCCAGAAACTCGGTGAGGTTGAGTATCCTCGGGACGGTAAACAATCCCAGAAACTCGGTGAGGTTGAGTATCCTCGGGACGGTAAACAATCCCAGAAACTCGGTGAGGTTGAGTATCCTCGGGACGGTAAACAATCCCAGAAACTCGGTGGGGTTGAGTATCCTCGGGACGGTAAACAATCCCAGAAACTCGGTGGGGTTGAGCATCCCCGGGAGGGTAAACACTCCTGAAACTCGGTAGGATATTATGAAGGTAGAATGTAGCCCGTGAGCTAGGCATTCAGGAATGAATGGGAAAGGTTGGGTAATCGCCATACCTCTAAAAGACTCTTTGTGATAAAACGACCTACGGGTCAAGTATTTTACAAGTATATACAATATGTATTATCTTGGGAATGGGGTAACAATGGTTACACCTATAAATATAAGTATCACCCTATTTTTGGGTCTCGTGTCTGAAACATTAGTTATTCCTCATATAGCCTGCTTGTCACTAGTACTTCTATGGAGTACTGACCCCTTCGGGGGCCCTCACATTTTTCAGGTTGAGTCTAGAGTCCTGCTACCTGCACCTTTGCCCAGGGTGAACTCAAATAAGGAAGACGTGGTTCGTGCTTCCATTCTTATTTGAAATTGTGAAATTGCTCATGGATATTTGAACGATGTTTTCTATTAAACTATTGAAGGGCCTGTGTGCCCGTGTTTGCCACATGTGACTGAATGTCAAACTTATTTTATTTCCGCATGCATTTGACTAATATATTGATGTTGATCGTATGGGTTTACTAATCGGTTTGGCAATAGAAATCTTTCGGACGCCTTGTGCGATTTGATAAGAATGAACTACGTTGTTCTTATTGGGTTGTACGGCGGTTGTCTACGTGGCACGGACGCGGTCCGGGGCGTGACAATTAAGTGGTATCAGAGCCATCGATTTCTAAACTATATGATTAACCTCTCAATATAGTATCATTAAAAAGTTTTGAACAAAACCATGAGCAAAAGTTTTTGTACTTAAGGAACCGTTGGAAACCAAGTTATTGACCTCTTATTGTTAAGACGGTACCCTTAACAGTTTGTTGGCCATAATGTTGGACCAAGTGGTGTCTTTTGTACTATTCCGTCAATTGACATTGATACGAGTCTAACGACTCATTCCAAATTTCTTTCAGAAATGGAGGGTAGACACATGGCTACGAGGAACAACCCGAGAGGGCAAACTCAGGCGACGTCCGTAGGGGCCAGCCAGGTTGCATCTCGGGGTGCGAGAGGCGGTAGGAGAGGCCGTGGAGGCCGTGGAGGCCGTGGAGGCCGTGGAAGCCGTGGAGGTCATCAGGCTCAAACCGTGAGCGATGGCCATGTTAGCTCGGTGCACGGGACTCACACCGAGGATTATGACTCTACTTATGTTCCCGAGACGGAACAGGAGGAGACCCCATACGATGGGGGTGATACGTATACCGACGATGACAACGATGAGAGTGATGCCAAGTTCGCCCAGATGGGCGAATTGTTTGAATGGTATCAAAAAGAGAAACTAAGGCGAGATCTTAGGCGCCAGGCTAGGCGTGCCTCTCAGGGGGCTTCAGGTCACGGAAGCCGGGGAGCATCAGTGGCTACACCTGTGGCGTCACAGGGAATGCATGGGGGAGGTTTTTGTGTAAGAATCTCCAAATACCTCAAGGAGGCTAGGGCCTTGGGGTGCAAGTCATTTGATGGCAAGGGTGATATATCGGTGGCTGCCGACTGGATCAAGAAGCTAAATGAGGCTGCTAGGGATATGCAGATCGGGCTTGATATAAAGCTGACAGTTGCTACCAGGTTACTGGAGGGAGTAGCCGCGGTATGGTGGGAAGGCGTGGAAGGAAAGTTCCACGGTGAGACCACCTGGGAGAAATTCGAAGTAGAATTTTATAATCAATACTACTCAGAGTTTGAGAAGAACCAAAAGAGGAAAGAGTACATGACCTTGACACAGGAGGAGGGGTGCTCGGTAAGGCAATTGGAACAGAGGTTCCGGGATTTGGCACGATACATACCTGAGTACGCCATGGATGAGAACCGCATGGCTAATCACTTCTGGGATGCCCTACAGTTGGATATCCGTGATAGGGCTACCTACAATCATCACATGACGTTCAGTGAGATTGTCGATCAGGGGCTTCTCGGGGAAGCCAAATGGAATGAGAGGAAGAAGAGAGACGTCGAAGAGGCGAAGAAGAGGAGATGGGGAAATTCTGGACCCCAAGACCATTCTCGGAAACATCACGCCGGGACTGGAAGTTCATTTAGGGCGCCGGAACCACCGGCAAAGAAGAGCAAGGGTCCAGGAGGGCAAGGGCACAGCTCGGGGAGCGTGAGGCCACCGAGGTGTCTAAACTGTAACAAGAATCATGCCGGGAAGTGCAATGCACCACCCCGGTGCTACAAGTGCGGTAGCACTAGTCACCTCAAGCCTTCTTGCCCAATGTTGAATGGAGGGGGACCATCGGGGGCTATGGAAGGACCTACGGCTAGTAGGGGACGTGCGGGACCATCACAGGCCGGCACGGGAAGGGGCGGACCTACGGCAAGCAATGCCGCGTCCGTTAACCAAGGTAGGACCCAGGCACGAGTGTATGCAATGACCGAGGCGGATGCGCGAGCAAACCCGGACTCCGTTGCAGGTAATATACTAAAATTTTATACGTTTCTAGGCTTATACTAAAGTTATAAGTCCTAAGGGTCAATTGCAAACTGACTTAGGGTCGAATCGGGGGAAATTCAACGAAACCAGGCTGATACCCGACCGGGTAAGGCAGGTCACCCGACCGGGTATACTGAGATTTTGGCCTGGTAAACCCACTGGAACGATTACCCGACCGGGTATCTAAGGTTACCCGACCGGGCAGAATGAAAATTTTTACCCGCGAGCTTCTGGAACGGATACCCGACCGGGTACAACAGGTTACCCGACCGGGTATACCAAATTTCCATACCCGCTGGCTTCTGGATTGGATACCCGACCGGGTACAAAGGTGTACCCGACCGGGTATTGCTGTATATTGTAAATTACGGACTTTTTCGGGGCCTACAGTTCAATTTAGGTAGGCAAGGTACCTTACATGACTTATAATTGTAGGAACGTTAAAGATTAATGGAAGGGATGCGAGGATCCTTATCGATACGGGAGCACAACGTTCATTCGTTAGTGAGGTGTTTGCCGTGGGGTTAGGCACACCTTTAATACCAATGATGCAAACCCTTTTGGTATCTACGCCTCTAGGGGATGACGTTGAACGAAATGACTACTATCCTTCATGTGATGTGGAGATAGGGGAGCACTGTCTAAAGGGTGACTTCGTACCGTTAGCCATGCTTGAGTTTGATGCCATACTTGGCATGGACTGGCTTGAAAAGCACCATGCAAAAGTGGATTGCTACACTAAGGTGTTAGAACTCAAGGATGGTGAGGGAAATACTCTATGTTTCAAGGGAGATAGAGAAAGATTCAATCCTTGCATCATATCGGCCATAAGAGCAAAGCGTATGATGGGGAAGGGATGTCCCGCTTACTTAGCCTATGTCATAGGCAAGGAAGGCAAGGGGAAGAGTCTCACAGAAGTGAGGGTGGTGAGAGAGTATCCGGAGGTGTTTCCTGAAGAGCTACCGGGACTCCCACCCGATCGGGAGATTGAGTTCGAGATCGAGGTTGAACCAGGCACCAAACCCATCTCAATTCCTCCGTACCGAATGGCACCGGCTGAACTTCAAGAGTTGAAAGTTCAATTGGAAGAGCTACTAGATAACGGATTCATTAGACCGAGTCATTCGCCATGGGGAGCACCCGTACTCTTTGTAAAGAAGAAGGATGGTACAATGAGAATGTGTATCGACTACCGTCAATTGAACAAGGTCACGGTAAAGAACAAATACCCTTTGCCAAGGATTGACGACTTGTTTGATCAATTACGAGGGGCAACCGTGTTCTCCAAGATCGACTTGAGGTCGGGCTACCATCAACTGAAGATCAAGGAGAGTGACATACCCAAGAGTGCATTCCGTACAAGGTATGGTCACTACGAGTTCCTAGTGATGTCGTTTGGGCTTACAAATGCCCCCGCGGCGTTCATGGACCTCATGAACCGAGTATTTCATCAATACTTGGACCAATTCGTCATAGTGTTCATTGATGACATTTTGATATACTCCAAGAACGAAGAGGAACACGAGAAACATCTAAGGCTCGTGCTTGAAACACTGCGGGAGAAGCAACTCTTTGCCAAATTCTCTAAATGTGAATTTTGGCTTGGGGAGATCGGATTTCTCGGGCATGTGGTATCGGGCTCGGGCATTTCAGTTGATAACTCGAAGATTGAAGCAGTCACTAATTGGGAGAGGCCCAAGAATGTGAAGGAAATAAGGAGTTTCCTCGGTTTAGCGGGGTATTACCGCAAATTCGTGGAGAAGTTTTCAGTAATAGCATCTCCGCTCACGAAGCTCACTAAAAAGGGAGCTAAGTTTGTGTGGGATGACAAGTGTGAGAAGGGGTTTCTTGAGCTAAAGAAACGATTGACTGAAGCACCAGTACTTGCCCTACCCGTGCAAGGGTTGGGGTATGACATCTATAGCGATGCTAGCATCCAGGGGCTTGGGTGCGTACTGATGCAATCGGGGAAGGTAATTGCTTATGCTTCTCGGCAACTGAGGAAGCATGAAGTGAATTATCCCACACATGACCTTGAGCTAGGAGCTGTGGTGTTTGCTTTGAAGATTTGGAGGCATTACCTCTACGGTGAGGAGTGTCACATCTATACTGATCACAAGAGTTTGAAGTATGTGTTCACTCAGAAAGAGTTGAACATAAGGCAAAGAAGGTGGATGGAGTTAATCAAGGATTACAACTTGATTATTGACTATCATCCAGGTAGGGCTAACGTGGTTGCTGATGCTCTCAGTAGGAAAAGTTCATCAGGGGTTTTACTCACATGCTTACAAGCATTGAGGGCACACGTGGAAGTATCCACGAATGGGGCTCTATTGGCCAGATTTGAGGTGAGACCCACCCTATTAGACGAAATCAGAACGCGTCAAGGCAATGACGAGGAAATTCAGAAAATCCGGGAATGGATGCTGGTGGGACCCGTCGAGGGTTTCCGTGAGAGAGAAGATGGACTCCTACTATTCAAGGAGCGAGTGTGTGTGCCGTCAGATGAGGAGCTCCGGAAATCTATTCTTGAGGAGGCTCACTCATCTGCGTATGCCATGCACCCAGGTGGAACAAAGATGTACCGGGACTTGAAAGAAAGTTACTGGTGGTCGGGGATGAAGAGAGAGATTGCTGATTATGTGAGTCGTTGCCTTACCTGTCAGCAGGTTAAGGCAGAGCACCAACACCCGGCAGGGTTATTACAGCCACTTACCATCCCAGAATGGAAGTGGGAGCATGTTACTATGGACTTCGTGGTAGGTTTGCCACGAACGGTTAGGAACTTTGACGCGGTATGGGTGGTAGTTGATAGGTTGACCAAGAGTGCCCATTTTCTACCTATCAACACTACTTATACGCTTGAGCGACTGGCCAAGTTTTATACTGACGAGATCGTGAGACTGCATGGGGTCCCGGTCACTATAGTGTCGGATAGAGACCCGCGGTTCACATCACGGTTTTGGCCTAAGTTCCAAGAATCCATGGGAACAAAGTTGAGGTTTAGCACGGCATTCCATCCTCAAACGGATGGGCAATCTGAACGAGTGATTCAGATTTTGGAGGACATGTTGAGGGCATGTGCCTTAGAGTTCCAAGGAAGTTGGGACAACCAGTTGGCTTTGGTGGAATTTGCTTATAACAACAGTTATCAAGCAAGTATAGGCATGCCTCCATACGAGGCATTGTATGGGAGGAAATGTCGGACACCTTTGTGTTGGGATGAGGTAGGCGAGGCTAAGCTTGAGGGCGTCGAGCTAGTCGAAATCACCAAGGAGAAGGTGAGGGTTATTCAGGATAGACTCAAGGCTGCCCAAGATCGGCAGAAGAGCTATGCAGATAAACGACACTAGTAGAAAACTGTCTTACAGTGACACTTCGTTAGTGACACTTTCTGATAAAGTGTCACTAATGGACGACATATAGTACTAACAGTGCATAAGTGTCGTACGTATATGACACAAAAACATCAACACATAATAGTGACACTAAATTAAAAAAAGTATTGAATTTTAACCTTAACAAATTTTCACTTTTCGTTTCCCTCCCAAAAATAAACCTCCCGCCATCTATTTTTGGTAATCCCACACCAAAACTTTCTCATCCACTTCTTTCTTTTAATCAAGTGACCGATCAATTAACCCTTTCTTTCCTTACCCCTTTTTTCTCTCTATCGATTAACCCTTCTTTCTTTCCTTACCCTTTTTTCCTCTCTATCGATTAACCCCTTCTTTCTTTCCTTACCCTTCTTTCCTCTCTATCGATTAACCCCATAGAACCCTAGATACACCGATGTCACTCGCTTCGATTAGCTTCTCTGCTGAATACCATCGCCGCTGCTGAAGGCTACGAAGAACACCACCGACGGCTCTCGATCGTCAGGTAGCTTGGGAAGAACTTCATCGGTACGGTCAATCGCCATCTTCTGCGAAGAACACCACCGACGGCTCTCAATCGTCAGGTAGCTCTTCTCCATCTGGTTTTTTGTTTTGGTGTAGGGGGTGTGATAGGCTTGGGGTGAGTTAGTTTCAGATTGACTTGAGGTTTAATCAAAAACCAATTTGGGGAATTTGAAAAAGAGATGTGTGCGTCTCTGTCCTTCGGTTAGGTTAGGATGGGGGTTATTTTTTCTCAACTTTTTTCTACCAAACACAAAGGCTGCCAACTCGAGAACATGGGTTGGGCAGTTCAACTTAGCTTCTTTAATTTTTTTCCCGACTGCATTAATACATCATACTCCTCCTAGACTAGCATCGTTGTATACTGAGTGAGGTTTGTACTGGTCAGTGAGGTTGATAAGGTTTAGATGTTTATAAAAGGGGAAAATGAAGATAATAGTATTACTGGATTATTACTGCTTCAACATTCAAGAAGTACTTACCAAGATTGGATCTTTTTTCCATAAAAGCCTATCTATGATAGTTTCTAAAGTTATGTATATGTATGTCTATATATACGAAGTACTGGGTATGTGTGTGTTTTATATAGGCTATCTATTATACGAAATTTTTATTAATTTTTCATGCTAAGTTAACTTAAAATTTTCTATATACGAAAAATTTTAAGTTAACTGAAGTTACCTTTTCTTTCTACATATTTGTTGAACTTGGTCATTTTGAGATGAAAAATTGATCAACCCACACTTTTCTGGGATGACATATTTTGAAGGACTACATTTGTTTTGGGAGGGGAGTATGTTTACTTCAAAAAGTAAGAGTCTATAATGCGATAGTGAAAACAAAAGGACTGCTTAAGTGATTTGTGATTTCACTTTGTGAGAGTCTATGATCTTCTCCCGCATAGACTCTACTATTTAAGTTGTTGTTTAATACGATAGTAGATTCTTTTATTAAAAGCTGGTTGTTTTTGGATCTTATAAATGTTTTTCTTCATAGTGACAATTTCTTCTCAAAGTTGTGGATAAGCACTTTAATATTTGGATGAAACTTACTGCTTTTAACGTTATACTATGTTAAAAGA